AGAAATTCTGCTTACAGGTACCAGCACAAAAGCAGTTTATTGCCAAAAGTACAGAAAACAAGGCCCACTTTCACAAGTGGAAGCATACCTAATTTAAACACAAACTCCAGCTAGCAATGTGAAGAATTTGAGTCTCTCAGACTGCTGCAGCTCCTTCTGAGGACAGCTCTTCATTAAACCATCTCTGTAAAGACCTGAATAAAAGCTTATGAAGTCCCAATTGAACACATTCAAGTTACGTTTAAGTACTGGGCAGCATTTACTGTATATCTCACCAGTCTGCATGCAGTTATAAAGAACAGAGACGAAGAGCACATACTTTCTGCACAAACTTCATGCAGTCTCTCAGACTGGAGTGGGTGAATTCCAGTCAGACACTGCAAAGACTGCCTTTGGAACAAACAACAAATTTTATTGCAAGAAAAGAAACAAGCCCAGATCATAATTTGAGACCTACATCCCCAACAACCTCTGTTTTCTGTGGAGACTTCAGATTAATCCTTTAAACTTTGAGTCATTCAATCAAACGTGATCCGAAAACTGCGCTCTTGCTCCTTGCGGCGGCTCTCGCAAACCTTTGTCACCTCTTCTACCTTCCTCTGCAACACGGCTGTGGGAGAAACAAGTGATTAATCTTACAATCCCCCTAAAACACAACCCTGCACAGTTTAGCCTGCAGAAGGAGAAAGAAAAACATGTTAATTTTGACAGTCACTCAGATTTGACAGTGCACAAAGAAGGAGGGAAACCCAACACAAAGCACTGCTAACCCTCTGAGGCAGAGAAGATTGTCTAAAAAGTACTCTGAGGCATTCAGGGACTGGCAGGCAGAATCGGAAGAGTCCTGGGACACGTTGTTGACACTTTTTGCCATGCCACTTCATTGCAGTGTCAGGGCACTGCATCAGAGAGCAGAGCAAACCCTCCCTGAACAGGAACTGCAAGCTGGTCTGCAGCTTGAGAAAAAGCAATTGCTCTATAAACCAGTTTCCCCTACCCGCCACCTGCTAAACCAGCTTTGAGTTATGCAAATTACAGGTGAACCACACAACCCGTTAGAAGTATACACCTATTTTCTTGCAGGATATCACACAGCCGTAACAAGCTTTTAACTGTAAATACAGAAAAGAGAGTGCAATCGCACAGAAGAGCTGCAGAGCACTTGCAGCCACAACACAGATCATCTGTTATTTGCAGATCACCCATTTGGAAACACATAAGCCACTGATTGATCATCAACTTCAAATGCAGCAGGCATTGCAATATACAAAAAAATCTTGGCACAAGCTAAAGCCATTTCTGATTTCATTCCATGAGAGCTTATCAGAAGCTATTCAACAGGGCTACGGCATCACGTCAGCCTCCATATTCCAGGTTAGGTTTTATTTCGTACAGCATGCCAAACCCAGAATCTTCCGGTAACATATTAAGCAGCACACTTCAGTTTGTCACTTTTCAAAAATTCACCATGCAAAAAATGATTACGGCATAAAACGGCAGTCTGCTTCACTGCCTCACCGATCTCTCTCGCTCAACTCGGAATTCAGTGGTAACTACGAAAGAGAAGACCCTGTGGTTCTCTCAGGAGGCGGCAGAAGGTCAGAACAAGGCTTTGTCCAAACACTCCTTTCACTTGGGGAAGCCGCACCGCCCTGCGTCCATGTTCAGCAAGTCCATTTAATTGTGGCAGTGTAGGTTAATAGTAATTCAAATAAAGTGCCACAGTTGCACATAATTGTTTAACACGTCAGACAAGTTAATAGCCACTGTGTATGAGCATGCCTAGAAAAGATCACTGGCTGTTGTGAAACAGTCCTGGAGGTGTTCCACAGGAAGCAAAACTGATAACATTACCTACAGCACAGATGCCCTAGTTCTGGTTTGGGGGGGGGAGGTTTAGTACTTTTTTAATACAAAAAGAATGTTAAGGAATGTGTCCTTCCCAGGCCTACTCAATTACTAATTGCAAGGGCTGTGTGAAGGCTTACTTCAAAATTGCATCGTTTTTCCACCGTACCACTTCAGTGCACACAGTAACAGGAATTCTTCTCCTTGCTAAGGACCCCACAGAAACAAAGAAATACATTAACCTTTTTTAAAAACTGCAATTTCTTAGGCTTATTGCTTCTTTCTTGTTTGAAGGTGAACTGAAGATGAACTGTTTCTTTAGATGTACATTTCCCAGCAAAGAGAATGAATTGTTATTAACTGATAAGACAATTTCTTCGGTACTGAATCACAGAGGAAAAACTGGGTCTCCTTTCTAGGAAAATTTAAAGGTACCAGGTTGCTATTTTCACACACATTCTGTAAAGTCAGAATTCTGATGCCACAGGAGCTGCACCAGATTTCCCAATAAAGCCATGTTTGGAATGCAGAAGTTGGCATCCATGTTCTGGAAGAAAAAGCCAAATTAAATCCTGACCTAAGCCAATAATACTATTTAAACATGGACAGTAGTATGCCTGCTTTCACCCAAGAAGTACACCAGCTGTGAGCACTTTCACAGCACTGCAGCCAGACAGTGCAATTTGGTACTGGTGAGAGGAGCACTGCTTTATTCTGCCATGCCCTTGTGTGGCTGCTAACATCAGTTAAAATCAAAACCGTGTCAAATTCTCAAATCCCTCACAAGGAGGCACTCCCTGTGAGAAAAGTTCCTTTTTTCTGTTTTAGTATGGCATCATGGTATACTAGTTAAGGGTGAATCCAAGACAAGAAACAACAGTAACTACACTATCAGGTTTTCACTATTGAGTGCATCTTCTGCTCTGCACTACATCTCAAGTTATTGCTACCGTGAAAGTTCCACACTATTACTCCAGAGTTACCACGCCTGCAGATAAATGCATGCTGCTCAGTCTTACCTGGATTTGGCTTTCCCATTGCGGGGGAGAGGATGATAACATTAAACACACACACACCCCCCTCACCAATTGTCCTATTCCAAAGGGAAACCCCATAACATTTTAGAAGTTGAAATATTTAACCTTAGTTTCGCAGAACAATGCATAAGGTTTTCAAGTCCTCTGCTTTGCACTGATGCGTTGCACTGCTTGTGCTTTTTTGTAAAACACTAGCAGTTGCCAGGAATTACTTCTCAGCAGAGGCCTTTAATGCACATCAGGAGAATTCAAGCACAGAAGGGACTGTGTCATTGAAGGTGAGGAGCAGAAGATTCCTCAGGGATCTTCAGGAATTCATTTATGTTCAAGAAACACTGGCACACATGCTGCATGCTTTCCCAAAAAGCTGCAAGATGACACTCACCTGAGTTCTGGTCAATCCACTGCAATGAATCCATGTGCGCATTCAAAATTTTACAGATCTGCTGAAGCTGAGCAGAAAGAGAAGGAGCAAGTCATTTGTTACACTACATAGAAACTAAAGAGTAGTAAAAGACAGCCTGCCTGTCCCTGCCTTTGGAACAT